GGAGATCCGGCATCAGCCCGTTTACAACGACCAACTATCGCGCTTCCTCTGTGCCTCACTTATATGAAGAGGGCTACGAAAATCGGCCTCGTACTCGCAGGAAGTAATATTACCAGTTTTTCTCTCCTTCCACCAATTCGTCATCGAACTTTGATGACCGACTAGATGACTTTCGACGACGTGCTTTTTTCAGAACAAGAAGATCTGCAGAAGAAGTACTGCCACTACTCAGAAGTGTGTGGTTCTGTATTAGAGCCATAGAAGTGATTGGCATAATTAGTATTCTGTTACCCTTTACATGCCTACTTAAATAAATATTTATATTCACCTCTATGTCCTCGTTTCCTCTAGTTTTTTCCCACTTACAGCCAATAAAAAAATTTACTTTCTTTTACTTTAAAAAGCCAGTTCAAGACCGATGGGTGGCAAGTGTGTTGTTTCGAATAAACAACTACTTTTTTAAATTTGTTCTGCTTTAGCTTATCCTTACTGCTGTTGATCTTTCTGACGATGACCCTACTTCTTACTGTTTTGTTTCGCTTGTTTAGTGACGAGCATTCGCCGGCTGCTGACGAAAGCCGCGCGTTCTTTGTGTGTAACCGAACGGTATCGATCGAAATCTTGAAAGACGCGTTTTCGGCCTACGGAGAGCTGGTGGATATCTTTTATCTGCCTGATCAGAACTGCGGGTATGATTTGAGGCGCTTCCGAGCGAATCGTTTCTTTTTCAATACTCTTATGTCTCCTCTTACCGTTCACTACTTTACAGCTACGCCTGCTTCGTTCGAAGTAAAGCTGCGAATGCTGCGATCGCCGGCCTGGATGGCACGATCATTTGTGGCGAAAGACTGAAGGTAAATGAACAGCGAGCTAATAATGTAACAGTGTCGAGGTCGGGGTGACTGCGGTTTTTTCTGATACTAATCGAAAACGTGGTTACTCGTCATGCTCCGCTGATGCTCATCTATTTCTACAATAATTTCCAAACGATTACAAACGTAAAATAGACAAACTGTAAGTACTCATCACTTTCTAATTAAGAAGCATTACTGTATTATTTGAGCACTGACTTGTACATTACAGTAATGCTACGAGTACGAATATTCATACAACCTCATGATGTTACTGTATTTGGGTTCATGTACTGCCTGAATGCAATGACGCATCTGCATTGAGCTGAACAAATGTATACTCGTGTACCAACATGTGGTTGTATAAATTCTCATAGTATACGTACGAGTACGTATAATATACACAGCAGTAGGTGCTACTGGTACAAGCATTTATACATTCTCATATCAGTACAGGAACACACGTTTGTTTGACTCAACTCAGAGATGCTGTATTGCATCCATGTAGTGCATGTGCTCAAATACAATGGAGATGATCTCTCCT